ATCGCTCCCGGAATTCCCCCGATTTTTTTTTTAACAATTTAAAGAACTCGGCCCGCGGAAATTAAAAATCCTAGATTTATTAATTCGATGTCAAGGGACGCGTGGAATTCTCGAGGTCGAATTTCACCGGTTCGTCTTCCTGTGTGGGAAGGTCCTGGAAGTAAGGTCCGGGAACAAGACGGCGCCTCCCCTTCCGGACGTCCCGACAACGGGATCGGTCGGTAAGTCAACGACATCGTGTCCTCGACAAGGACCGATCCGTTTCCAGGAGGGCGGACGTAAGGAGTCCTCGAGGGGACTCGAGTCGACCATTAAAGCGGCGAGGACGAGCCCCCCTCTCGTCTTTCGTCCTGCGGCCAGGACGAGGGGGAGTCGCGGGACGTAAAGTGCCAGGACGCGTTTTCGCCGTTTTACGAGCACCTTCGCCACGTCCTATCCCTCGAGAGGGAACCAACGAGCGCGATCAAAGTCGACCGAGTCGCGACTCGAAGGATCTTCCCCTCCGCCGATGAACGGGGACGAGAAATTCGACCCGAGTGCCCTTATTAACGGGGGAATAGTCTACTCTTACAAGGGTGTCCTGCCCAGAGGGGGACGTTACCCCTGAGTACGCGCACCCAGGTGAAAAAGACGCGACCGAGTTGGCCCGGCGACGCGATAAGGCGGTCCAAGATAAATGGCGAAGGAGCGTAGTGCCAAAACCGAGAACAAGTGTCTCCAAACGTGGCGTTGAAACGCCAGGACTATATTCATCGATTTCGTCCCAGGACCTCACCATCCCTTATCAAGCCTGAAAATAAATTCGGTACCTCTTCCTCGAGACTTAACAATAAGTACCCGTAAAAAATCCCGTCGATCTTGAAAATGTTTAAAAAGGGATATAAGAGATCAATCATCCCTCGAATGACGAATCAATGAATTCCGATATCTCGGACGGTAATCGATGATACCAAATTTATACCTATCGCCATCGCATGGCCGAGCCCTTTTTTATCGGGAGTTCGCTTAACGGGGCTAGGGCGTTACCCTGGGTGCACCTGCGGTGGAAACGGCGCGGCTCGTCCGCTCGGCCACGCGATAAAGCGGACCGGGGGTGTTCGGAGATGAATGGCGAGGAGTGCCGAGAGAGCCAAGGGGTAGAGGAAGTGTCTCTCGGTTCGGCGTTATCACGCGACGGGAAAATACGAGCCGGGGGTGACTCACCCCCCGCGAGGGGGGGGGGGGCGCGGAAAAGATTCTTGACCTTTTGTCGATTCCGGGGCTCGGTGTACATACATCCCCCCATAGTCTCGGATGATGGATCGTCCTCCTACCCCCCGTACTTCGATGCACTCGGAATTTGATCGAGTTAAATGTACCCGTCCCCCCTCGTGCCCCCTCAATACGCTCCCCGACACTTCTCGGATAATACATATCGCAGCGCGATGCGACCTCTCTCCGACTCTTTTCTCCTCCAGGAAAATTGCCTCGGGGAAAAATTCCGAAGCTTTCCCCTTAGGGGGCCAAATTAGGGAAAAATTCAGAGGCTCGATATCTTACGCTAGGGACCCCGGAAAATATTAAAATCTTACTTTCGGGAGACAGATTTCGGACAAAGTCCCGAAACTTGACTGGGCGAAAGTCTCTGAGAAATTTCGATGCTTCCCTATCCAGTCTCGGGTACAACGAAAGATATCCAACCTCAAAATTCGGGGGATAAAATTCAAGGTTCCTCCGTCGATGCTTAAATTCCTGATAGAACATTTGATAATAGCTTTTTCAAGGGCCGAGTTCAACGAGGTCCGGTGGGTTCGGGGCTTTTTGAAAAATTAAACCGTTGGGTGACAAAAGAGGGATCGGGCGCGCGACCACCCCCGGGGGCGAGGGGGACGGGGGAGGTTTACCGAGCTCCCGGGCCTTTGCGGCGGGGCCGTTAAATAATAGAACAGCGGCTCGCCGAAATGGGCCGAAATGAAATTGCACCACGATTCGATAAACATGAGACTTTCGTGAAAAAGCACCCCCCCGGAGCCCCCCGCTCGGGGAGGGGGGGTCGGGCTGAATCGAACATTTTACCGGCAATATCGCGAACCGACCTCGTGTCCAAATCTATGACCGTTTCAACCCTTTCCAGAGGCGAGACAAGGGATAGTTGACTCGCACCCCTCTCGATATATCGTGAAAGAAAAGAAAGAAATTCCCCCAAAAAAGATTCCCATCGCAACGGTAGGAATTTGGAAAAGGTCCGTGTCACTCGCTATCGAAATTCCGGGCCACCGAGGCGCGTCCTTTTTCATCACCGGAAATTGGTCGAAAGGCGTCGTCGTCCTTTTCCCCCCTCATTTCTTACGTCATTCGGGATAGGTCGGCCGGGGAGGAAATAGTCGAGAAGAAGCGACAGGAAATAAGACAGATAGGTAAAGGGGTAGCCCCCCCATGGAACACCGTCGAGGAACACGGGGAAGAGGGGCCGCGCGGGGCGAAGGAGAGGTGCTGCTTTACATTTTATTGCTTGCCGTGGATTCCCCCGATTTACATAAAGAGACAGACGACGCACGTATACGCGAACCAGGGCGGACGGCCCGACGAAAAAGAATCCCCCTCCCCCGAGCACATTTGTCGGGGGGGGTTTGCGTACCCCTGTGAACTCGCAAATTCGCAAATCTCCGAATTTGCGAGAGCACCGGCGACCCCCGGAGAAGAAGCCGAGTTCTCTCGCTGGATTTCCGGTTCGTCTCCCGATAAGATATTCCCGGAGAATTTTTTCATCCCGATTTATCTCGAGTCGAAAAAAAGAGGAAGCACTTCGAGGGGGTAAATATCAAAAAATATCACGAGGGAGTGATACGATAACGAGTCGGCGATCCGATCGGCGACGACCCTCGCAAGCCTCGTCCTCGAAGGGAACGACCTGGAAGAGGACCCCGAAGAGCGTACCGGAAACGCGGGCGTCGGCGATATCGACCCCCCGCGAGTACTTTATCGCGCCCCCCGTTCCGGGGGATGAGGAAAAAAGGGGAGGGGGCAAAATCGATATACATAAAAATGGAAATGTCCCCGGGCCCACATTGTCGCGCGAGTTCCGCCGCGGCGCGTTTCGATTCCATTGAATTTCGAATTCGATTACGGATTCCTGGTCGCACCCCTTGCGAGGGAGAAGGAGGAGGAGGAGGATATCCCGAGGGAAGCCGTCGGCCGGGAGCCAATATGTGCCGGGACTTTAACGGACGCGCATAAGGAGGCAAAGGGTTGGCCGAGTGGCCGTTCGCGTATATACGTGCAACCCCAGACCCCCAGGAAATATCCGTTTTACGAGGCCGAATACAACCCCTGAACGGCGCCCCTACGGTAAAGGGTAACCGGAAACGGCCACGCGAGAGCCAATATCGAAGGTTGACTTTCGTCCTCGCGGTGGACCCTGAAGAGGTCCTCTTCGTGGTCGCCGCCGAGAGGGCGTTTGGAGTTTTGATGACTGGAAACGGGGGAGGAAATCTCCGCACTTGTTGGCGGGGTTACGGAGAAGGAGAGGGTCATCGAGGACCTCTTCGTGGCCGTCGCTCAGAGGGAGCTCCGAAAATGTCGCTGGGAATGTTTATCATTCGATATACCAGTATCTACGAAAGTGATGCAGGGAATTTTTTTTTTCCGTCGTTTAGAGGAATCTTCAAAAGCGGCACCGGGGGGTGTACGAAATAAGGGATGGTTCGCATCCATTCACGGAGACGTCGGGGATACTCGTCGAGGATCGATCGTCGAGGCCGTTCGACGAGTCGGATTTTTCGAGGGTCCCCCCCAACCTGGCCCCCCTCTCTCGGGGTTGGAGAATCTCTCTCCGGAAGAAAAATATTATCCTACGCGCCTTCCCAAAGGGGTGGGGGAGCCCGGACGTTCGCAGCCTCCCGGAAAGATGGAGCGCCCGTGGGATGGTATCCATCTCGCTTCCTGTTTTCCCGGCGCGTCTATACCTCCTCCACTTCGGGCTAATGGATGGGCTGGCGCAAATTGGCGCCCAAAGTTATTTTTAACGGAGCGCCCGTCAAACGTCAGCCGGGGGTGGGTTACCCGGGGAACTCCACCCTCTCGGCCCGAAGGCGTCTCCATTAAGGATCTCCCCGAGAGGACCTTTCTCCAGGCTACTTCCAACGATTCCTCGAGTCCGGACCGACCCGCCGGAGAAACGAATTAAATATTAAAAGCAATATTTCTAATAGACCTCAACTCTCTCCCTCCCATGACCACCCCGAATAAGCACAGAGAGATATTAAAAATAAATACACCCCTCCCTCAATTTTTTACTCCGCGTAAATCGAGGGATGGCTTGTACGTCAAAATCGAGAAGAACCGAAAAAGGTACTCGGCCCATTTTTCTTAAAACCATTTTAATGGCGATCAACGATATATCATCGTGTCACAAGTGCTAACGAATTCATCCGGCACCGAAAAGGTGAAGGCAAGTCGTATCGCCAATCCAGGTGGAGGCGCCGCCGTTAAAGTCACCCTAGGGCGCTTCCCCCGGGATTTTCAAGGCAAACACGGGGTCCGGTAATACCCGACCCACCCCGAGAGAAGGGATTTCGATTACGTCCGATTCCGCGCGCGGTTCCGCGGCGTAAAGCTCGCCTCCGGGCTTAGCCCTCGTGATGCAACGGGCGGGCCGCAACGTTATTGCAACTCCGGGCGCGGAAACGCGGCCGGACGGGCACGTATCGCGAGCCAAGGAACCCAATTATCCCGAAGGGGGATCCTCCGGATGCGATTCGCGGCCGATAGCGGCCTAGCACCGCCGAATCGCGTCGGATAACCCGCACTCCCTGGGGGGCGATCGATCCGCGAAGGAAGACCGGCACGTTCCCCCAATTTTCCGCCTTAAGGTGATGCGAAAGTGCTCGAGTAGATCTCGATCATGAAACTTTATGTGTATTACGGATAAGGTTAAAAAATAATGCCGGATCCTCGCGTATCCTTCGCCCCATTCAAAGTATCATTAAGAAATTATTTCCTTTAAAAGGAGCGCCTCTGACCTGTCGAGCGCCCTCAGGCGAAAGATAAGCGGCTGGTCCTTGGCAGCATCCGAGGCGTCGCGACGCACCCTCTCGCAGTGGCGTCGCAGCGTCGTCGTCTCGTACCAGGCAGCGCCGTAATGTCGAATGTAGGTGTCCTGCGTGATCCCTGAAACGGTAGGAAGAGAAAATTCCCCTAAGAATGAATCACGGATAAAGGTGAAAAGTTAAGGAAAAGAGGGAACACGGAATTCGGAATAAAATGTCGAACGGTCAGAGGGGAGGGTGTTTCATCCCTCGGGATGAACGGCAGGATAATGGGACGGGATTGGACACATCGGGGTGGACCGCGGCCTAAGTTGTTCGTTCCAAAGAGGATTAGGTCCTGTTTACAGTGCCGAGGTACACGGGGCGATATCGCGGGGTTGGGTCGCGGGTTTACACCCCGGGCCTGCCAATTTTGCCGGCCATTCGCCATTTGGCCCTTTCCCAGAGCGATCGCTTCGATCGGGCCCCCCTTTTCTCCCCCGGGAACCGGGAACGGCCAATCCCGGCCAATCCCGGCCAATCCAGAAACTCCTGGCGACTTTTCAATACGCCGAATTTTCCCCAGATTTGGCGCCCGTCCTGGCGACTTACCACCCCCACTTATCGTCCATTCATCCCGAAACTCTCGTCTCCTTATCATATAAAATAAAAAAAAAAATATTCATCCCACTGCCAAATCGAACACGTATAATCGAATATATACCATACGTGTGTATATATTTATTTCGGGCAATTAATCTGTTTTTTACAGGTTATCGATATGTACAGATATGTAATTATCCATCTGGATGATTAGAAGAATTGCAAATACCGGATCTCGACGTTTCGTCCTCGGCTTCTATTCCGCGGATAAATATCTACGTTTATATCCGCGGATATCCCGGATGATCGGGAACCGATCGTCGGCACGGGGGCGAGGAATCCCGCAGGTAAATTAGGGAGCGGAAGGAAGAACAAGAGGGCTTCGGCGAAAGTTCCCGTGATGGATGAGAAACGTCTCCGGGATCATCGTAAAGCCCTATCTCGGGAGGCGTCGCGGCGCCTCCTGAGGGTGGCGTGCATCCTAATATTCCAGACGTGGCGAGAGCGGAATAGCAAAAGCCAGGAGAGGAAGAGGGGGATGACGCGTGTCCGACGGGGAGGTTACACCTGGCCACGTTGGGGCTCGTAAATTTGCGGCCGCCCCGGGCGAGTTTTCCCGCCCGGGGAAAAATCTCCCGGATTACAGGATAATTCACTGGATGGAGTATTCCTGACCGGCGGGATGGCCGCGCGTGTCAACCGCGTCTCCGTAACTCGTCGTTAACCGTGGCGCCTCCATTAAACGGACTTAACCCCTTAAATTGTAAATTATTGGCCTTTAAATTGTAAACCACCCGTAGTTAAATGAAAAAAAAAATATGTATATATAATTCAGCGATTAAATATTAAATTATCGTACTCGAAATTAAATTACATTTTCCGGATTAAACGAATGTAGCGAGGTCAAGATGCGACTTAATGTCAAATTTCCAGGGTCAATCTCAGGCATTGAAAAATTGGGATTTAATTACCAGAGATACTAGATCACGGTATAATGCGAGGCCCAAGGAAATTCCGCGGCGCCCCTTCTACCCGCCGGCCAGGGTGGCCACCCTTGCGAATTAAATCCTTCCTCGAGGCATCTCCGTCGCGCATCCCCGATAACACCAGGGGCGTCAGCTGTTACGACGGGGTGCGATCGACGAGGCGTTTCAATTATTCGCGGAGGGCGTGCATGTTTCGTGCCGGCTCGACGGTCTCGATATCACCCCTCCGGGAAATAATTATAAAAAAAGATCGAGGGAGAACAAAGGGAGGGAAAAAAAAATTACCCGGGGGGTTTTCTTCTCCTCGGAGGGAGTGGGTGAATCGTTGGCTCAATTAGGGAACACCCAAATGAACGAGGGGTGGGTCTCACCCCCTCGAGACGTCGAGGGCTCGTGGCGTCGGTTAAACCATCGCCGACCTACATGCTCATTGCACGGGGAGATGGGCAGCGTTAATTACTTCTGTTATTCAGTTAGAGTTTCGATTGCAAATTGCACCCGTCACTTGTTACCCCGGCCTCCCGCTAATTGCGATCGCGAGGGTGATCTCGCAATTAGGACCGACCGAATCGCCGCGCCGGGTCCGCGTCGCTCCACGGACCGCCGGAGATGCTGCGGAGGAAAAAAAGCCCCTAGGAAAAATTCCAGATGAAATTAATTCAAAGAGACGTTTCGCTCCCGATGCCACGTGGGATGATCATTTGGAAATGTCAGTGAGGTCGTCAAGCTCTTCGAAGCGGTCTATTCCTTTGACGTCAATTTCTAGGCTTCGGTACGTGCACTTCTACACAGAGACGTGCACATCACGACGTTCCAAAACGCGTAAATCTTTTTATATCAATGCGTGGGTGGTATCGGATCCAAAATGTGAATTCGTTGATTTTTATACGGTTCGTCCCTCCCGCGTGATTAACAGTAAACCCATCTCCGCCCACTCGTCAAACGTCAGATCGCCGATCCCACGTTCTTGCGACGTTAACGGCACACCCGGACGTGACCGGCCACGGCGATCAGTTTTTCCCTTGAGAACCTCGGAGAAATCGACGACATCGTTGTGTCACCTTTCGCCGGTAAATCTCGTCTCAGTAAGTGGGACAAGTCCGCGAAAATCGCGGTCGACGTAACGCTCCAATTTTTCCGCCATTTTTTATCTCACACGCATACTACAGACTTGCGATACTATCCGGGGAAAAATGGCACGATTTTCGGCGTAGGGATTAAATGAACGTCGAGAGGATTTTCCACGTCGGCCGATTTTCTTATTCCGCCCACCGAGGACCAGGACGACGACGTCCGAAAACCGCGGCGGAAGCGTCGTCGATCGGCCGGATCGTTAACTTCGGGAAATTAGTGCCGGCTTGGTAATTCGCTGCAATTAGGCGATGGAGGGAGAGAGAGAGGAGAGAGACAGAGCGAGGACGAAAGCGACGGGCCCCGGGTGTCCGACCGGGCGCGTTTCCCGCCCGGAATGCCATCCGGGCGACAAAACGACGCGATTCGCGCCCGGGGCGACTCATTAATCCCGAATATTCGAACGGGGAACGACCACCCCCCGCGAATCGCCCGGGCGATCCATTCTTCCGGGCGGAATTCTCGGGGAAATTCCGCCCCCCCTCCCGGAATTCTGGCCGAAATTCTGGCATCGATAAACGACCCCCCGCGAGAGAGCCGATCGGTCGCTATCAACCGGCGAATGTTTATCTACCCGGGGCTATGAAAGCGGCCGCAAACACCCCCGTTGACCGGAGGACGACTTATTCATCCCCATCGGGGATGACGGGGTAAGCATGCTGGGGGCAAGCGCCGCTGGACCAGGGGAGAATAAATAAGAGAAAAGACGAGGAAAAGAAAAAATCAAAGAGATATCGAACACGGGGCGCAGGCAAAATTGGATTTTTACCGTGGTCGGGGATTTCTTAAACCGGCGATCCGTCATAAGGTCGGGACCGAGATACGCAATTTAATCAGCCCGAGTGATTGCAGCGCGGATAATGACGCGAAAGGTCGACGAGTAAAAGGGAAATGAAATGGAAGAAGGGAAAGAGAAAGGAGAAATTTCGATCTACGATCTACAAGTGAAACGTCGCTGCGCGAAACTTAGTCCTCGCCGTTGGAACGAGAAAAAAAAAATACTAATAGGAGAAAGAGCGAAGAGAAGAATATATAAAAAATATAATTAAAAAATCGGAGAGCACCCATCGACCGACCGCGGGGAAAACGTACGGTGACGACCGCGCTTATCATTCCGCATGCCGTTCCGAGTTATAGCTGCGGGCGTTGGGCGATCGTAGAAACGCGGGCCGTTAAAAAACCCGCGGAAAAGCATTTAAGTCAACTGGCAAACCGAGCCAACGCAACGCACCTCTCCGTGCACCTCTCTGTACATACGCGCGCAATAACGCCGTACGGAACGGCTCGCCGCATAAATTCGCGAAACGAGTGAATCGTTTGATTTCACAAGAGTGGCTGCGGGGAAAACCGTGCACGGGCGGAGGTTCGAGGGGTGGGGTGGTCATTTTGTAATTATTCGGGGCTTAAAACAGGATTATCGAACGCCATTGGGCAATCGGCGGGCCGCGAGCGTACTTATCGGTTCCGAGCCGGCTGCGGATGACGCGTCGTTGCAAATCCCTGGGATTGAATATCTCCCTTTGAGTGTCCTCCTTCTCCCTCTTTCTCCCACCGCGAGATTAATAATCCGTCCCGCGTATTCCGGAAAACTTGGGGGGGGGGGGATAAAATGATAGGAAAAATAGGAAGAGAGGGGAACGCTCGTTAAACGCCCGACAGTCCCGAACGGACGGCCGAGTCGAACATTTATCGCAGCTTTTATCGTTAATTTTTTAACACCCCCGATCCGCCAATTTATACACCCCCCTTCGCCCCTCCGTCGTTTCCCCTTCCCTCCCTCTCGATATCGCTCGTTCCACGCGCCGAGGTAAATTATTAAAATCCAAATGGACCGTATTATGCATGTCCCGCGCGATCCGAGTCGCCGGCTCGTCGGGAATTAACGGCGCCGTTTCACCGATAACGACCCGCAAGAAAAAAAAAAAAAAAAAAAAAACCGGGATCGAGGCTTAGCCCGGGGACTGCGTTCGGTAATTATTCCCTTTAAGAGGTCGGAAATGGGAACCCTCCCGCTTTTTACCTCGTCCCGAGGATTCCCTCTCAGGTTATCGTCGAGATTTCGGGAGAAGGGGATATCCCGCGAATTCCCGCAAGCCTCCTCGCGACATCTCTCTCTATCTCTCGATATTTCTCCCTCTAGCTCCTCGTCCCGCCCCGAAGACGTCTTTTCCAATTCCGCCGATAAACGGGCAAGTAATTTCCGCGGCCTGATAACGCCTCCTAGCGCCCCGATATCCCCCTCCGAAGTCAAAAGATGGGAACGTCCGTTCTCGCGGTTCGACGTTCGCCCTCGATTTTGAATCGGAATTGGAGAGAAAAAAAAAAAATAATAAAACTGCCTTATTTTTCTCGGGGTAGATAACTCGCGTTATCTCCGAGTCTCGTCGAGATACGTCTCCGGGGCGAAAAGATGACAAGTTCA